CATACACACATATATATAACAGCATACATATAACAGTAAACATGCATACATGTAACAACATACATACATACATATAACAGCATAAATACATACATATAACAGTAAACATGCATACATATATTACCATACATACATGTATATAATAGCTTACACACATACATATAACAGCATACATATAACAGCATACATACATACATTTAACAACATATATACATACATACATATAGCAGCATACATACATACATATATTACCATACATACATGTTTATAATAGCATACACACATATATATAACAGCATACATATAACAGTAAACATGCATACATGTAACAGTATATATAGATATAATAGCATACATACATATAATATCATACATACATATAATAGCATACATACATGTAATAGCATATATACATACATGCAACAGCACACATACCTGCATACATATATTAGCATACATACATGCATATAATAGCCTACCTACACACATACAAACATACTTTGCATGCATACATATCATAGCAAAGCATATATACATACATATCATAGCAAAGCATTGTATACATGGCATACCTACATATATAGCAGACCATATTATAGAATAGAATAGCAAAGCATGCATGGCATACATAATAAATGATTATAATATATTTAGCATTTTTTCTAGTTTAGACAAGAATTTGCTTATATTGCTGAGCAAGGAAGAATTACAAATAGAAAACATACCTTTCACTTTGACAATAGTTGGATTGATATAATAATAATTGGGAATGTATTTATGACGTATTTCAATTACAGTTTCATTCTGACATTGGTACAAATAATGAAATTCGTCACCTACATCTGTTGTACATAAGGGACACATTCTTTCCTGTCTTGGAACGCCTGTCCATCGACCTATTTCTATAGGCAGCCTTAAATTGGACATTCTAAATTTACATAAAATTTTCCGTTCTTGTAGGAAGGGCTTTAGCAAATATGGTTCAAATTTCCGTTCGTTTTTGAAAATTGAATAGGTTTTACCAGGAGAAGAACTATCTATGTCATGATACCATTTCTGGATAAATTGATCGATAAATCTCTTCTTGATAATGCATTTTAAGGTATCTCTATTGACTGTACATGATTTTTGGTTAGTCCATATATTGTTAAAAACAGTAACTATATAACCTCCTCTCAATTTCATTTTGAATATAACTGTAGCACAGTCGGGCGAGGACATTTCTGTTGACAAGGTAGCTCAGTCGGTTAGACACTGTAACAAAAGTGGGTTCAGGGTTAGCACAGTCGGGCGAGGACATTTCTGTTGACAAGGTAGCTCAGTCGGTTAGACACTATAACAATAGTGGGTTCAGGGTTAGCATAGTTGGGCGAGGACATTTCTGTTGACAAGGCAGCTCAGTCGGTCAGACACTATAACAATAGTTGGTTCAGGGTTAGCACAGTTGGGCGAGGACATTTCTGTTGACACGGTAGCTCAGTCTGTCGGACACTATGACAATAGTGGGTTCAGGGTTAGCATAGTTGGGCGAGGACATTTCTGTTGACAAGGTAGCTCAGTCGGTTAGACACTATGACAATAGTGGGTTCAGGGTTAGCACAGTTAGGTGAGGACATTTCTGTTGACAAGGTAGCTCAGTCGGTTAGACACTATAACAATAGTGGGTTCAGGGTTAGCACAGTTGGGCGAGGACATTTCTGTTGACAAGGTAGCTCAGTCGGTTAGACACTATGACAATAGTGGGTTCAGGGTTAGCACAGTTGGGCGAGGACATTCTGTTGACAAGGTAGCTCAGTCGGTTAGACACTATAACAATAGTGGGTTCAGGGTTAGCACAGTTGGGCGAGGACATTCTGTTGACAAGGTAGCTCAGTCGGTTAGACACTATAACAATAGTGGGTTCAGGGTTAGCACAGTTGGGCGAGGACATTCTGTTGACAAGGTAGCTCAGTCGGTTAGACACTATAACAATAGTGGGTTCAGGGTTAGCACAGTTGGGCGAGGACATTCTGTTGACAAGGTAGCTCAGTCGGTTAGACACTATAACAATAGTGGGTTCAGGGTTAGCACAGTTGGGCGAGGACATTCTGTTGACAAGGTAGCTCAGTCGGTTAGACACTATAACAATAGTGGGTTCAGGGTTAGCACAGTTGGGCGAGGACATTCTGTTGACAAGGTAGCTCAGTCGGTTAGACACTATAACAATAGTGGGTTCAGGGTTAGCACAGTTGGGCGAGGACATTCTGTTGACAAGGTAGCTCAGTCGGTTAGACACTATAACAATAGTGGGTTCAGGGTTAGCACAGTTGGGCGAGGACATTCTGTTGACAAGGTAGCTCAGTCGGTTAGACACTATAACAATAGTGGGTTCAGGGTTAGCACAGTTGGGCGAGGACATTCTGTTGACAAGGTAGCTCAGTCGGTTAGACACTATAACAATAGTGGGTTCAGGGTTAGCACAGTTGGGCGAGGACATTCTGTTGACAAGGTAGCTCAGTCGGTTAGACACTATAACAATAGTGGGTTCAGGGTTAGCACAGTTGGGCGAGGACATTCTGTTGACAAGGTAGCTCAGTCGGTTAGACACTATAACAATAGTGGGTTCAGGGTTAGCACAGTTGGGCGAGGACATTCTGTTGACAAGGTAGCTCAGTCGGTTAGACACTATAACAATAGTGGGTTCAGGGTTAGCACAGTTGGGCGAGGACATTCTGTTGACAAGGTAGCTCAGTCGGTCAGACACTATAACAATAGTGGGTTCAGGGTTAGCACAGTTTGGGGAGGACATTTCTGTTGACAACAAGGTAGCTCAGTCGGTCAGACACTATAACAATATTGAGTTCAGGGTTATCACAGTTGGGCGAGGACATTTCTGTTGACAAGGTAGCTCAGTCGGTTTAACACTATAACAATAGTGGGTTCAGGGTTCGAATCTTGTTCTAGTGTAGCCCTGCTGACGTGGTACGGGGATCCGTAACTCATTCACCCCGGGAATTTTATAAGGAACTATTCAATCCTTTGAGTTGGAAGATTTCAAATTTGTCTTCAAGGGTGAATGAGTTAACGCCGTACACAGTGGCCCTGTACTTTGGTATATTCCTCAAGTAAAACAATCCAATTTTTTTTTTTTTTGGTTTTCAATATATGTTTTGCGTCGGTATAGTACTAACGTTTCAGCAAGGTTCTGTGAAAAAACAACCTAATGTTTTATTTCATTTCATCAAAAAAGGAAAAGGAACTGTTTGTATCCAGATTCCATTCTGATTATTAAATTCACGAAATAGGGTAGTGAAGCCATGTGTCCGGTTGGCCTTCGATCGTGACAGCTGTTACAAAACAAACACGACACAGAATTATTTGGAGATACAGTATATGCTTTCAACCGTAGAATTAAATATTTCGTCCAAATGTGACTGATTTGGTTTGTCCATTTATAACAGAGGGTAAAAAGCGTTTGCAACACAACAGCAGAGACGTATAGGTACCGGCGGGTCTCAATTTGTCAAAGCATGGTTAGCTTTACCATGCTACTCGTGTATTAATGTATTGGACATATTCATCTTTAATGTATAAACAAAAAACTGTATTGGAAATTAATAGAACAATCTTGAACAATTTTTAATTCTGACAGTTAGCAGAGTCCAAGCGCCGGTTATTTTTTTGTCTCGTAAATCAGAACGTTAGTGACTAAAATATTGGACAAGCCTACCAGATCATTTGATGAAGTGATAACTGTGACTTGACAATTACGCAAGAAGTCGAAGCTGCAATCTCATGTCGTAGGTTTCTCATAGGTAAGACATCAATGGAAAGCCTGTGGCTTGTAATGATGTTATTGGTCATCATTTCGTTAATTGATTGGTTGATGATGGAGTGCGTTTCTTATTATTTTTTTCATCGTGCAGACGCGTAGCTCTCTTTATGCAAATGAGTACACATAATTTTGATGAGTGAAAACATATTTAATAAATACGTGTATTTCAAACCTTAATTACGTAAGAAAAGTAAAATTAAAAAAAAAAATCGAAATAAATACGTTTTTCTAATTTTTTATTCCAACATAAAAATCAGAGACATAAATTAGGTCTGCTGAAATCTAATCGCAAAATTGTCACGAAACACGTGAATTTGCTCCAGAGACCTTGAATTCAAAAACTTCCTTGAGGAGGCCAACCCCAAACTGGGCCTCCCCCCACGTATATGATACTAAACGTACAATACGTACTCGGTACGTTAACCAGTTACATTATTGATGTAACCGAACTTTTTTGAACATTAACGCGGAAAATTAACAAAAAAATCATCTGGTAAAAATTGCAACGGTCATCGGTCTATGATGAGTGTTCTACGATGGCTGTATAAAGATATAATTGTCCGTAACATAAGTTTGAAAAAGAGTTAATGAAATATTCCAGAGATTATTTTTTACTACTTCCTTTATTTAATAAAAATAGCTACTCACTTCTGTGGAAAAGGTACACGTGTTGTTGAATTCTCGTTAATTTTTGAGGAATTTCACATAATCTGATTAACAGAAAGTAAAAATAGAAAGTAGAACAACTTGGAACTCTGCTTCGTTGGAAAATAACCCAGTGCGCTTGGACTCTCTGCCTTAAGTTCATTTTTGTTTTTACTCCATTCTCTTATCGTCGATAGTTAGCAACTTTAATTCGGGAAATCTTAGTGAAGCGATGAATTTCAATTTTGTGATATAAGTCGATCTTGTTCACTCGTACTTTTTTGTTCCCTGAGAAAACGTTAGAAATTATCTTATTTATTATAATACATATCTATTGTAATAGCCGAAATGAAATAAATGTACATTTATACACATATGGAAGTTGGATGCTGGTTATCACGTTTGTTGAGCATGAGTGAAGTTTTCAATAGTTGTTTCCTAATTCTTTTCCATTTGTATTTGTAGTTGTATATGTATTATTATTCAGTCTTAAACGGAAGAAATGAAGTTTATAGTATGTGGTTTGGAACGCTGGCATTGAAAGATAAGATACGAATGATATAGTAGTGAGATCAGCGGATAGAAGCGGATTTGCCTACACACTATACTGCGGCGGCATTTTATAAACGTTTTTGTGTAAAATAAATTTGTCATTTTATTGAGTATTGATAATACATAGTTTTAACACATATCGGGATCATTTTGACACTACATGTATATCAACGTATGAAAATGGATCACAAAGTCAGTTTGAATTTTTATAAAGACATCGTCAGATTCTGTGGATCAAATCTAACGATCGGCATAGACTTATTGCGATCAATTTTTAGCACTGAGCTCACCTGGTCCGAAGGACCATGATGAACTTATGCCATACCGCAGCGTCCGTCTTCCGTCCGTCAACTTTTCCTTTAAAACGGCTCAAAAACTATTGTTACGGTTTGACTAAACCTCAAACCAATGAAAATAATTATCTCGTTGTTGAGAAATTACAATATCTCTATTAACGGTGTACAAGATTTACCAACCACCTGGATTACTTGCCTTAGTATCATTTATCTCCGCTAGGTTGCGCTGCACTGGCGCAGACGTGTTGGGCGGAGTTCGAACTTGAATATTTAAGGCCCCGACCGGGCCGACGCTTTATTTAATCACCAGGTAATCATGAGAAGTCATCAGTCATGTTGTAAACTTTATAATCGTGTTGCTTTGTTCCATATAGAAATTATTTCACGCTTGTCTGCCATTTCATATTTTCTTCAGGCGCGGTCATGAATGTCCTGTTTTATTTAACACTTCCTGTTTGTAAAACTGGGTGTTGTCATCGCGCTATAAAAAATCGTCACATCTAAAGCTTGTAACGGAATACATCATTGGTCATTTACAATGAGACATTGAGAGAAATAAGATAAATAGTCCACAGAAGTCAGTATTCTAGTGATTAAATCATACATGTTGTCATACCAAACCGAAAGGAAAACTGGAAATTCCGATGGGTCAGGTTTACGAAGAAATACATACATGCACACACTTATCCTCGGGTTACCGGTTTCCGCGCACTTGAGAAGCATCCGCGATTTCTTAATCATATAGGCAGAAAACTGTTGAAATTACGGATCACTGTCATAAACATGTATACAATCTAATAAAGGAAACAAAAAACTAACAACATAAAACTGTATTTTAAAAAATTCAGAACAAACAATTTTTAACAAATTTCTCCCGTCGGAAGTAGCCGTCATATGTTTCCGTGTGTCTATTTTGATTTAGTGTTCAAAGAAAGATAACTCGAATACACTAAAAAGAAATTCTCTACAGTGACCTGCAATACAAAAGCTTCGGTTGGAATAAAAAAAATATATCTTTGATCGTCAAATTAATTATCAAAACAACTTTTTTTAAATTTCACATTTTTAATAGATTTTTCAAGATGTCAAATTGAACGCATTCATGTAATTTTTTTTGATTTATTTGTTATATTTATTAAGTTATAATATATAATCTGGTTTTTTTTTATCTGCAGTCTTATATTGGTTTTGGTTGATGGTAAGTTATTTCTCATTTTGTTCTGTTTAAAAATTGGTGAACATTGGAAGTTCATTGCATTAAAAGGTTTACGTTTCATTGAAAACACTGTTTATCGATATAAGAATGTCTCCTTGGTCTTCGGAGGTGGAAAAAAATCGGCGAGGAGATGTGGCCTCATTTGCATACGACATTTTCGTACGTTTGAGACTACAGAAAAGACCCGTTCATGAATGAAATATATCACCGTTTTTTCAGGTATGGGTTAATTTTGAACAAGATAAAAAGTGCATTGCAGGTTTTTTTAATCGGTGATTATTTCTTATGTTTTCCTGACGAACTTCCGGTAATTTTTGTGTCAGTTTACAGATGATGGCCAAACGTCCATAATATCCTTGTGTTGTGGTCGGCAGGTCACGTAGTTACGAAATATAGGTTGATAAAATGGCGGCGCGGAAATACATAACGCGCGGAAACTGGTGACTAGACGATACCATTTAATTACCAGATAATCATGAGAAGTCATCAGTCTTGTTGTACACTTTGTATTCGTGTTGCTTTTTTTTACATAGAAATAATTTCGCGTTTGCCTGCCATTTCATAATTTCTTCAGGCTCGGTCATGAATGTCCTGTTTTATTTAACACTTCCTGTTTGTAAACTGGGTGTTGTCATTGCGCTACACAAAATCGTTACCACTACGATGACGGCGGTAAATTATCACCTTTACAAATGTTAAGGATGTTAATCCTGGAGGGGCCATTGACCCATCATAACTGAAACTGACCCTTCCATGTTCCAATTTTCTTTTACTTTTACATAGAAGGGCCCATCTTAATTTTCATATTGACTGAAAATGGCCCACTGCTCCCAATTTCCAGGATTTTCCCTGAATGTTGACATCAATAATGGTTGATTCTTTGTATGTCGTTTACCTTATTACATTGTTAGTACACTTCTGTGATGCATTAATGCATCATTCGGCCCAGACCCGGTGATGTATTAATGCATCATTCAGCCCAGACCCGATGATGTATTAATGCATCATTCAGCCCAGACCCGGTGATGTATTAATGCATCATTCGGCCCAGACCCGGTGATGTATAAATGCATCATTCGGCCCAGACCCGGTGATGCATTAATGCATCATAAGGGCTTAAGGGTTCACAGGAAAAGGGGTGTAAAGCTAACCATGCTTTGATCACTTGAGCTACCCATCAAATAGCTAGCAGAGGTGACTGAAAGAGGCCAAAGGTCATCGCCACGGTTTACATGGGCCACTTTTGTTTATATCGCGATCCAAGTGGTTGGACCAGAGCTGTTCGTTAATGAAATAAGGTCGGACCTAGTAATCTAATGCTGATTTCAGGCGAGCCTTGATAAACCCTTGCCAGGCCTACACAGAGACGTATATACTACAGAGATAAGAAACTGCCTCTTTCCCATGTCGGGTAGTCTATTAGGATGACATCAATTTCATTGCTACGACCTACAATATCGTTAGAGGATTCGCAAACCGCAAATTACGGCCACTAGACTCATCATTGTATATTTGTATGTTAAATTCAGATTTTTCTTAGAATGCCCTTTTCAACATAATTTGATAATATTTTTTATACTGTTCTTAATTTAGAAGTCCAACTTAATACTGAAATAGATGTTTTAAATTTAAGCAATCCATGGGTAAAGAACTCACATCGTGATATGTACTTATGTTAGTTATGATGAGGGCGATTAATTAGTGTGTGTACATGCAAATTATAATTGTTACCTATGACGAGTTCAGGTGTGAATTTGGAAGGGTATGTCAATATGTCGTGAACCTTTATCTAGAATTTTGATTAGCCAGAGGAGTTATATTACAACTACCAGTACCGATCCCCTAAGGTTTTTTTCCCATACCCGCACCTGCCTCCCAGTTAGTTTGGCTCCCGTAAGATCTCCTCACTGGTAAGTCCCAAATTCCAGGATTTTCCCAGAATGTTGACATCAATAATGGTTTATTCTTTGTATGTCGTTTACCTTATTACAATGTTAGAACACAGGGGTTTGTTACAAATGTCTTATATGTTTATTAGTCTTTTGTAACGAACCTGTTTTGGAGCCCATATTACCATAATCAGTGGTTTCATGAATGAGTCATTTGTAGCCAGTAGCCGGTAAACCTCCAGTCTGATTGAACAAAATTGAACATATTCTGTCAGCTCTGGCCTAGCTGTGTTCGAATGAAATGAAATTATAGCCACTCGCTGTTCAAAATAAGAAGGAGTTTGAAAAATCTGAATCAACATCGGAAAAAAACCCAAACCAAGTCGTTGATACGGAACAACATGAACACACAATGACCTAATATGATATATTTGCAAATCTGGCAGTGAAAACAGGGTTAGACACTAATTTGTTTGCTTGGTACAGTCCACAGGACTAGTTTAATAGATTATTTACTAGTCCTTCCAAAATATGTTATTTTAAGCAGTTTCAAAATATTAAAAAGGAATCTCCTTATTTTATGATCATAATTTTAGCCCACCTTCAGATGGTGGCCTATTCAAATCACCATCTGTGGTCCGTCGTCCGTCTCTTCTTAAACAATTCTTGTTATCGCTATTTCTCGGAAAGTACGGGGGGG